GCTGAACCGTTTACTTACATGTCCTTATTTAACTCTCAGCAGTCCTGTAAGGCAGTGCCGCAGAAGCAGTCTGCAAGTGTCGCACGTCTTCGTTTTTCTCACATTTTTGATCGACCGTATGTGGAAGAGGTGGGAAAGCTGAAGGTTTGATCAGATCCCTAATTTGGTCAGCTTCAGAGACTTAGTTTTCTTTTAAACTCAGCGTGAAAGTATGCTCGGCTGAGTTTAGATTTAGTTTGCCAATTTAGTTATTACTGCATTTTAGAAATAAACCAAACATAGAAGTAAATGATGAGCAAATTTTTCTCAGTAGACTCTTCTTGGTGTTTAACAGGCTATTTTGTTCTTATGGCAACTAAAGTGTCTTACTACAGCTGTGCGTTTTCTGTGTGATCCCCTCGTCACTTTATTTCAGAGACGTGCACATTGCTGCTTTTTTTATGGAAACCTGGTCAGCTGGTTTCCCTTGCTGCACGTGCCAGTCGTACTTGGGCTCGGCAGGGAAAGCGCAGCAGTGACGGTGAGTGGAGGAGGGCGTCAGTCAGCAGCTGTCGTTCACCTTAGCCAGACACCGGGTGAGGCCGATCAGCCCTGAGGTTGAGTTTGCAGGCGGGTGCTGGACCTAGGTTGGAATGCCACATGGTGTCTGTCCCTGATACGTGATGCAGTATGACACATCCCATAGATTACTGCCAGAGTGCTCTGCTTTTCCATTTGAACTTCATCTTCTGTAGAGGCGGCTGGAGAGGGGCTGGAGGCAGGTCTAGGTTGCAGGTAGCTAACACCGGTTGGATGCTCGCTGTGTGTCCCGCCTGAGCTGGATGCTTCTCTGCGCGTTACCATTTCCTCACATTTTCATAATTCCCCTGAAACGTACACGTGACCATGTCACCTTTTTCAGATGATGTAGACTCTGAGGAGGAAGTGAGGGTGGTGGCCTGGCGAAGCAGCGCCAGGAAACCCCGCTTCCTTTGCTGGGGTGCCTGCCGGGTGCCTTTGGGTTCAGTCATTTTAAACTCAGAGCCGCAGATCAGATATGGTATGTCTTCTTGATGTGCTAGTCTTACCTCTTTGGGGGCAAAAGTTAAATAATTTAATTCATCAAAACAGATGTATTATGGAGAATAATTTAAAATTCACATAATTAAAAAAAAAAACACCTAGAGACTTGAAAGACATTTGCTTCTTAGAGCCATGCCACTCGGTTGAGCAGTTCACTTCTGTCCACTGCTTCCCTGGGAGGCCGGACAGGCGCCGACTCCCCCTCACTGGTAGTTTGGAGTCCAGCCTTGGGCCCCATCGACCTCCTAAGGCTGAACAAGAGGCCGTGATAGATTCCCATCGTCCAGAATGGACTGGGGAATCGGTATTCTCATTAATTTTTTAATTTGAAGTATGATGAATGTCAGAATGGAAATGGAGCATGACTTTTCAACGAATTAGAATCTGGTAAAGCATGCCTCATTAAAGCTATATTGACATACTTCAGAAGCCACTTTTTGATTAATAGTCTTGCTTCAAGGTCCTTGCTTTGCACCATAGTGTGTGTGTAGGGGGCTTTCGTACTGATTTTGTCCTGGATCCTATGACCAGTCCTAGAAATTACTTCTTTGAATGTTTTCCTTTAATTGCTGCTATTTTTCTTCTATTTTCCTTGGGAATGACAGGTTTTGTTTTGTTTTGTTTTGTTTTTCTTTTTAACTAGGTTTGCAAAATTCTCATATTCCTGAAAGACTTGGTTGGTACCGAGTGTACTGCTCTGGTTCCCAAGTTCTCTTGCAGTTTTAGTTTCTTCCCAAAGCTGTGATTTCAGAGCACTCACCCTGTCAGGGGCCCATCTAGAAGCAGTGTATCCTTTGTTTCTTGTAATCTGGGATCAGTCAGATGTTTTCAAAGCCGCTAAAGCGCTGCCCGGTGCAAATTGCAGTCATTCCTCCCATGCTCACCTGTCTAAAATAATGAAGGGGAGGTGGTTGTTTTCAAGAAAAGTCTCCAATTTTAAGACGGACAAGAATGTTGGGATTTGCCAGCGTTTCCCGCGAAGGGAATGGCCTCGCTTAGATGTCGGAGCCAGAGAGCTGTAGGGGAATGTACCCAGTCCACCAGTGGTTCGATTACAGAATCGTATTAAAGAGAAATGTGGCGTATGCTTGGCACCTAGGCCAGGGCAGCCCAATTTATCATGCCAGATCAGCTTGTTTTCTTTTTCTTCTTGGCATCGGAGCTTTTGCTGCCCTGGGATTACAACGCATGCTCTGATTGGTAGGGAACGACCTTCCTTTGCAGATGGCCAGAATATCATTTTATTACACATTAATCCCGTTGTACTAGACTGAAGCTAGCCGAAATCCTTTGTTAAGCTGTTTCAGAAATACCCACACGCCCACGTGGGCCAAGAATCCTAGGATGTTAGGATGCTCCCTTGGTTTCCCAGACTTTGACCTTCTGTGGCTTTGTCGTGCACACTGGCAGCAATGGCCAGGGTGTATTTTGAGCCCTGAGCTGAGGAAGGAGTGTGTTTCTCTGCAAACTGGCACCCAGCAGGCCCTCCATCCTTTGCCTTTTTAAGAGCAAACCGGAAATAGCCCTAAATCTGTTTAACCAGGCAGAAAAGTCTCTTCACTGGTCAGTTCATGTTTTAAAATTCCTTCTCTCTTCTTTGCTTTAGTCGCCCAAAGGTCCATCTCTTGGGTGTCCCCAGACTTTACTGAAGGAAGGGGAAAGACATTAGAACGGGGAAAGACGTTAGAACAAGGAAAGCACCCAAGCTATATAGCCAGGCCTGCGGGTTAGAGGTGAGAGACACATCGGATGCTCTGAGCAGGGAGTTGATAACTAGTGATCAGTTTTCATTTGAGCATATTCTTTTTAGCAGCCAGAATTGCCCTCCAGAGATAGAAACGGCCAGCTGAGCTGCGTGCAGGGCTTTGCACTGCCGGTCTCAGCAGCGCCTTCACTCTGCACAGCTCACAAAAGTTGTCCGGCTCTCGTCGGGTAGGGTGGTGTCTGCAAAGGAGCCTGAGGCCTTGACAGAAGGCCGGAGTGTGTGGGGTGCATTC